GTCCTAGCCATAACAGAGACCCTACGCAGTGTAAATATCATGATTCCATCTCTGTATATTGGCCATGTCCAGCATGTCAGAGGGATCTTACGAGAAGCAAGGGTGTTAAGAACCACCTCGATACCGAACCTGGTAAATGTCGTTTTGCTGAACCATTTAAACTACCAGACGACCACGACCCCGAAGGCAAAGCCGTGCCAGCTTGGTGGAAACCCTTACCTAAACCTGGTGAGGGCCAAGCTTCAGCTTCAGGTGGCCGTCGAGGCGCACACGCCAGGCCACCACGACCACGATCCTTCGGCAACGTCGATCCGACATCTGGTGCCAGCAGCTACGACATGCTACGAGACGCCCCCGAGCGTGGAAACACGCCTTCTGCGTCTTCTAGCGAAGTGCCACAGGTAGCGGCCCGCCGCGGCCGTCTACAAGGCGCACCACCACCTCCAGACGCAGTTAACACAGGGGACCAACTACGGAGAGCTACAAGGAACCCTCTTGCCTCCACCGGCTCTGGGGCTCCACGACTACCCGACTGGACGAGATTCGATATCCAACACAGTCTACAGAGTCTCCGTAGTCACGATCCTCATGTCGTGAAAAAGGAACTCCGAAAACTGCATCTGCGATGGTTTGAGGGAGTTTCTGTGGAACTCACGTCAGCCTCACCCCCGGCGCGAAGAGCACGAGCCCAGAGCGGCCTCCGGCACCGTTTCCGGACGGATCCGCTGGATCCGCTGGATCCGCTGGATCCGGTGACGAATCCCTAACCGGCGCCCTCGCCTGAGACATCCTCACAAAACGGGCCCCGGGGGGGATGCCCAGAGGAGCCCAGAGCGGCCTCCGGCACCGTTTCCGGACGGATCCGCTGGATCCGCTGGGTCCGGTGACGAATCCCAAACCGGCGCCCTCGCCTGAGACATCCTCACAAAACGGGCCCCGGGGGGGATGCCCAGAGGAGCCCAGAGCGGCCTCCGGCACCGTTTCCGGACGGATCCGCTGGATCCGCTGGATCCGGTGACGAATCCCAAACCGGCGCCCTCGCCTGAGACATCCTCACAAAACGGGCCCCGGGGGGGATGCCCAGAGGAGCCCAGAGCGGCCTCCGGCACCGTTTCCGGACGGATCCGCTGGATGGATCCGCTGGATCCGGTGACGAATCCCAAACCGGCGCCCTCGCCTGAGACATCCTCACAAAACGGGCCCCGGGGGGGATGCCCAGAGGAGCCCAGAGCGGCCTCCGGCACCGTTTCCGGACGGATCCGCTGGATCCGCTGGATCCGGTGACGAATCCCAAACCGGCGCCCTCGCCTGAGACATCCTCACAAAACGGGCCCCGGGGGGGATGCCCAGAGGAGCCCAGAGCGGCCTCCGGCACCGTTTCCGGACGGATCCGCTGGATCCGCTGGATCCGGTGACGAATCCCAAACCGGCGCCCTCGCCTGAGACATCCTCACAAAACGGGCCCCGGGGGGGATGCCCAGAGGAGCCCAGAGCGGCCTCCGGCACCGTTTCCGGACGGATCCGCTGGATCCGCTGGATCCGGTGACGAATCCCAAACCGGCGCCCTCGCCTGAGACATCCTCACAAAACGGGCCCCGGGGGGGATGCCCAGAGGAGCCCAGAGCGGCCTCCGGCACCGTTTCCGGGCGGATCCGCTGGATCCGCTGGTGGGATTAGAGGCCCTCGGCTCGTCCCGCCACCGAGCCTGGGTTGTGGGCCAGAGGCATCTTCGATGCCTGTTGGGGTCTCTCGGGATGCCGGGGGCCTCTTGGATATCTCCTGAGGGTTTCTTGGAGCCTCCTGGGGTCCTCTTAGGGGTTTCTTGGAGGCCCCTTGGGGGCTCTTGGGGGCATGCTGGGGCTCTTGCTTCCAGGGCCGTCTGGGGGCCATCCTGCTGGCAGTGTCCGCAGGAGCCTTTGGGGGCTCTTGCGGACAGCCTGGTGGCTGGACAGCCCGCGACGGGGCCCAGTCCACCGAGCAGCTCTCCGCTCGGACAGCCCTTGGCTGGATTCCGGGCGCCCACGCGCACGCTTCGCTCGGTTGGCCCTTGTCGGGATTCCGGGCGCGGCCTCCCTGGCAGCTGGATGGCCCGTGGCGGGATCCCCTGGCAGGACCTTTCCCCTCTTGCCCGTTCTCGGGCCGCTACCCCTGGTGACGCTCCTGTGCCGCTCAGGTGTGGATCCACCCCGGTTCGCCGGGGATTATTGTATTGTCCTTCCTTGCGGTTCTCTCGCAGGGGACGCCCCTGTACTTTGTTCAGGTTGCAACTGCGGAGTCGACTGTTTCTTTTTTTTTTTTTTGTGCATATGGACCCTGACTTGAGGGGGCAGTCCAGTATGCGCGTGCCTGGATGTTGATGCGTGCAGACAGTGATAGAGCCTACGGGGCTCTTGACCTTGGTGTGACCCCTGGACAGACGGGCTCTGGACATACTGGAGCGGTGGGAGTTCCGGACACATCACTTCGAACAGGAAGGAGGCGCAGGCAGTCGAACTTGCCAGTACCCCGTGTACTGACGGAGCTGTTGACTTGCACCCCTTGAACCCCTGTATACATCGCTGCACAGTGTCACCCTTGGGTCACGAGGAATGCATGTCATAATAACTCTTTACATGAGTATGATGGACACAGGGAGCTCTGGACATCGGTATGTGTTGGGGCCCTTGGGCAGTCAGGAGATGACAGGGACCCACGGCGCACGGCAGTAATGTGTACACGCGTTTTTTTGGCATATGGCAGCGCAGGCTGTTGGTTTTGCCGTGAACTCGGGCACGCGGCAAGTAATGGCTTGCACCCCTGCCTCCGTTCTAGCAAATCCTCCCCCTGAATCCTGCGGCAGGAAGTCGTCTGAACGTGTTCCCCCCTGGCTGAGCCCTTTTCTTGGCTACTGGTTTACGTTCGTGCCTTCACTTTCGCCAGGCTTGCATTTTGCATTGCGGATCCAGCGTTTTGCCTATATTGCGCATCTCTTTGGGTTTCGTTGTTTAATTTCGCCCTCGCGCCCGGCATGGCGAGCATGCTGGTCAACTTGTCATGCCTCCCGCCCCCGCGTTTTCATTGCCTGCACCGGCGCGGCCTTCGATGTTGACTTGTCCATCGAGGGGTTGCTGTGGAACGGACCATTGTACGGCGTAGAGATCGATCTTGCGCGCCCGTCAACGAAAAAAAGGACCCTTTGGGCGCGTCTTGGTGCCTTCTTGGTCCATCTCAGGAGCCGCGTTGCATTTGGAAAAACCATTCGAGGCGACCGAGGCGCGCGGCAGCGCCCAAGAGATCTTGGAATTTGGCCCCAGAGCGCAGAGAACAGAAAGTTGTTCAGTAGGGGGAGCGTTTTTTTGTCGAGCGTTCGTTGTCGAGTGCTTCGCCGCCGTTTTTTTGTCGAGTGCTGCCGCCTCCTCCCTCCGCGCAAGGGAGAACACGCCGACCTCTTGCGCGTAGGGAGAGTACGCCGACCTCTGGCGTTGTGGTGTTACGACCCCTGAAACAACTTCCTGGGTCCCTGGGTTCAACATGGATTCGTCCTTCGACCCCGTCCTCGACCCCCATGGGGGTTCTCCTCGTCCTTCGATCCTGGGGCCACCACGAACGACCCCCCCCCCCTGGGGGCGACCTTCAAGGCGAACGCTCACCTCCAGGGCGAACGCCCGCCTCGGGGGTGCCGACTTCGCGCGCGTGGGTCACGGAGGGCTTCTGAGGCTCGCTTTGGAGGTGTCGGGTTCCGTCCCGGCACTTCCTCAATGCCCCAAGAGGGCCCCGCGATGGCTCCGAGAAAAGTTCCATGAGGCCCCCAGAGGGCCCCGTCAGAACATGCGCAAACATCGCGTCGCAGGTGTCATGTGCGTCTCCTTGGGCCCGCATTGGAGCCCTCTGGGCCCCCATGCCCCGTGCCCTGCGAGAGCTGGAAGAGAGAGAGAGAGAGAGAGATAGAGAGAGAGAGAGAGAGAGAGAGAGATTAAAAAAATGGAGAGAAAGAGAGAGAGAGAGAGAGAGAGAGAGAGAGAGAGAGAGAGAAGAGAGAGAGAGAGAGAGAGAGAGAGAGAAAAAAGAGAGAGAGAGAGAGAGAGGAAAAAAAAGAGAGCCAATAACTTCAAGGCTTGGCGTCGAGATTTCAAAAGTGCCCCGCGAAGGCTCCAATATGTTTCCGAGATGGAGCGTATTCATGTTGGTTCAAGCCGCTCCTGTTTGAACGGCGATCCTGCACACTTACTTGCGTTTTAGCACGCACGCGTGCCTCCAGCTTCCTCTCTTCCCAGGGGCAGCCGCGAGAGACATGGGGCGTCCGTCGATCGTCGTCCTGGCGGCCCTCATCCTCGCCGCCTGGCCCGCCGCATGTGTCGAGATTATGTTCGAGGCGACGCCGAGCCCGACGTGCGAGACTTCGACGCACGCAATTTCCTCACGCTTCGCGCATCCCCACCAGCCCATCCCAAAGCAGCCGCCAGGCGAGTTGCCTTGATAAGGGAGGCGCAGCAGCAAGCAATCCAAAAGTGAGCCACATCCGTTTTGGAGGCCCCTTGGGGTCGTCTCTGGCCGTCTTGGGCCATCCTGGGGCTATCTTTGGCCGTCTTGGATGCACCTTGGGCCGCCTTGGAGACATATTGGGGCCATCTTGGGCTCTCTTGGGACCATCTTGGCCGTCTTGGAGGCCATCTTGGGCGTCTTGGAGGCCACTTGAGCCGTCTTTGGGCCCTCTTAGGGCCGTCTTGGGGGCCTCTGGGGCCGTCTTGGGGCCATATTGGGGCCTCTTGGGGCGCTCTTGGGGGCCTCTTGGGAGTCCTGGAGGGCCTCCTGGGAGCCATCTTGGAGGTGGTCGGTCAAGCGAGGTGGGGGGCCCGCCGTCTGGTCCCCCCCTCGGGGGCCACGATCCTTGTGAGGGGTGTCCAAAAATAGCCTTCCGAAGCAGCGAAAAAGGACCCTCTAACCGATCGCGGCCGCTCCCGCCCAGGTCCAGGGGGGGGGGTAGGGGGAGGGGTAAACCCCTCCCCGAAGGGGAAGAGGGATTGTGGGAAGTCGTTGGAAGAGGGAAGAAGAATCTCCCTAGACCACCTGTCGCCCAAAGGGCTGGTGGGATTACATGGGTAAAGGGTAGCTATTCAGGCGCACCGACCATTCATGCAACATGCACCGGACCCAGCGGGATCCCTGCATGGGTTCAACATGGATTTATGCCTCTATCCAGCTGACCTGGTTGGTACACACTTGGAGGGTCGTGCCGATTGGTGCTACGGCACTCATAATCTTGCCATGCGCATTATGAGGCGCAACGACAACGACGAGTACATCACAACCGGCACATGTTGCAGCTCTCACGAGGACAACCAAGTGACCGATGTCACGTCGCAGTGCGCAGACCCGACGCCGAGCCCTATCATGCCCAGTCCAACGCCGAGCCCGACGCCGAGTCCGACGTGCGAGACGTCGACGCACACAATCACATGGGTAAAGGGTAGCTATTCAGGCGCACCGACCATTCATACAGCATACACTGGACCCAGCGGGGTCCTTGGGTTCAACATGGATTCATGCCTCTATCCAGCTGCCTGCGGCAAATCCCGCCACCGTGCCAACCCAGTTATCTCGATGCTTTTGCGCGAGGGAGCACGGATTCCCAAGCTTGCGACGTAATGTAATTCGTGGTCTGATGGTGATGGTGATGGTGATGGTAAAGAGAAGATGTCGAGGGCGGTGGTGATGATGATGATCGTGATGACGCTGATGATGTTAAGGAGGAAGAGGAGGAGGAAGAGGAAATCCGTCACATGTGACAGATTTCCGTCTTTTGGAAGTGAGGCCGCGACGCAGAGGCCGGCGCCGTCACATGAGACATTTTGGCCGTCTGGGGCCGGGCGACGACGTTGACGATCATTGCGCTGATGAGGCCTCGCGGCAGAGGCCGAAACCGCCACATGTGACACCTCGGCCGTCTCGGGGGTGGCGATGATGACGATGATGATGGTGACCATGATGATGATGATGATGATGATGATGATGATGATGATGATGCTTTTGTTGTCGGTTTGTTGCCTCTTGTACGTGTGTGTGTGTGCGTGCGCGCGTGCGTTGGGATCTCGCGATTCAATTCTGAAGCCTCTTGGGAGCAGTTTGGGGGCCTCTTGGGCATCATTCGGGCTTTTTGGGGGCTATTGGGGCTTCGTGGGGGCCTCTTGGGGGCGTCTTGGGGCTTCTTGGCGGCGTCTTGGGGCTTCCTGGAGGCTTTCTGGGGCGGAAGGCTAGAATTTTCGGTTCGTGGCCCCTCTCTCGGACCTCTCCTGTGGCAGCCTTTGGCGCCTCTTAGACCATATTGGGCGCCTCTTGGGCCGTATTGGAGCTCTCTTGGGCCATTTTGGGGCCCTATTGGGGGCCTCTTGTGCTGTCTTGGGGCGGTCTTGGAGGCTTCTGGTGCCGTCTTGGAGAATCGGGAAGCCGAAAAGGGGAATAAGCCAAAACCATTGAAACAACCAATGGAAAATCAACGATTTTGGCTTCTCGGGCTTCTCTTCGGGCGCCTCTTGGGGCTCTCTTGGGCCGTCTTGGCGGCCTATTGGGCCGTCTTGGCGGTCTCGGGGCGATCTTTGGGCGTCTGCTGGCTCTCTTTGGCCGTCGTGGCGGTCTCTTGGGGCCGTCTTTGGCGCCTCTTAGACCATCTTGGGCGCCTCTTGGGCCGTCTTGGGGCTCTATTGGGCCGTCTTGGGGCTCTCTTGGAGGCCTTTTGGGCCGTCTTGGGGCCGTCTTGGAGGCTTCTTGTGCCTCTTTGAGAATCGGGAAGCCGAAAAGGCGAAGAACCCAAACTCATTGGAAAACCAATGGGAAATCAACGATTTTCGCTTCTCGGGCGATTCTTCGGACGCCTCTTGGGGCTCTCTTGGGCCGTCTTGGCGGCCTCGTGGGCCGTCTTGGGGCCGTCTTGGGAGTATTGGGGCGATATTTGGGCGTCTGCTGGCTCTCTTGGGCCGCATTGGCGGTCTCTTGGGGCCGTCCTTGGCGCCTCTTAGACCGTATTGGGCGCCTCTTGGGCCGTGTTGGGGCTCTCTTGGGCCATTTGGGGGCCTTCTTGGGGGCCTCTTTGGGCTGTCTTGGGGCGGTCTTGGAGGCTTCTTGTGCCGTCTTGGAGAATCGGGAAGCCGAAGAGGCGAGGAACCCAAACTCATTGAAAAACCAATTGGACATCAACTATTTTTGCCCCTCGGACCTCTCTTCGGACGCTTCTTGGGGCTCTCTTGGGTTGTCTTGGCGGCCTCTTGGGCCGTCTTGGAGCCGTCTTGGGAGTCTTGGGGCGATCTTTGGACTTCTGCTGGCTTTCTTGGGCCGTCTTGGCGGCCTCTTTGGGCACTCTTAGCCCATCTTGAAGCGAATCTGTGGCATTTCTCGAGGGGTTGTGGCCTCGGGAGGGGGGCCGACGCATGCAGCCCGGTGCGACGAGAGGGGGGGGGTCCCTTAGAGGATTTTCAGAAACCCTACCAGACCAGCACTTGACATTCTTGCACGCCTCAACGTGCCAGGGGGCACGGTGGCGGATCCAGCTGACCTTGTTGGTACACACTTGGAGGGTCGCGCCGATTGGTGCCGCGGCACTCATAATCTTGCCATGCGCATTATGAGGCGCAACGACAACGACGAGTGCATCACAACCGGCACATGTTGCAGCTCTCACGAGGACAACCAAGTGACCGATGTCACGTCGCAGCGCGCAGACCCGACGCCGAGCCCTACCGCGACGCCATCCACAGCGTCTGCAGCCGGTGATCCACATTTGCAAAACATCTACGGCGAGAGGTTCGACTTGATGAAGCCTGGTAAGGTGACACTTATCAACGCCCCACGTGGGACGCGAGTCGAAGTCGCGCTGCTTGCGGTAGAAGCTGACGCGCGCCGCCTGGGCGGGAACTGCGCCGACATGTACTTCACGAGCGTGAACATCACAGGGGCATGGGCGGACAAGCTGCAGGCCGGCGGCATCCGGTTCGACGCCGACGGCGCTCAGAGCCACAAGGTGCCGATGTGGACGAGTTTCGGGCCGCTGGCGGTCAAAGTCGTCCACGGGCGAACGGAGGAGGGCATCAGGTACTTTAACCTCTTCGTCAAGCACCTTGGGCATGCCGGCTTTGCCGTCGGAGGGCTATTGGGAGAAGATGATCACACGGAGGTGGCGAGGACCCCGAGGGAACGCCGCAAACAATTTCTCTTCGCAAGGTGAGCCGGACCAGCGTGGGGGCTGAGATGGCCTCGGGGGCGATCGCAAGCTGAGTCGGCCTCCTTGGCCATCGGGCACTTGACTTGCCAGCTTTCGAAGATGGCTTCTTGGGTTTTCCATGTTTTCGTAGTTGCTCGCTGGCGGTTCGTTCTCAATGCGGCGTGTGCAGTTTCGACGAGGCCGTTTCCATTTGTGGTGCGCGAACTACGTCCTTCTGCGATCGCGCGTGGCGTTCGAGCACTCGCGCGCTTGCCCATTCAGGCCACTGTGCAGTTCGATACTTCTGTTTTCCCAGCTTGCGTGTGCACGCCCATTCTTGTCACGCTTGCATCCTTAGCGCTCTGTGTACGTATGCCTGTTCGTTCTGGCCGTTATCATCTGTGAGCGCGCTGCAAAAAAAGATTGCGGGGCGCGCGCGGCCTCCGCGCGCGGTCGGACCTCGCCCGGCCCGACCCGACTTTGCATTCTCAGCGCTCGCGCGCGTGCCGCACAGCGCTCGCACTTCTTCTGGTAGACTCTTTGCTGGGCGGGCCCGAGGCATCGTGCGTTGTCAAAGCCTTGCGGCCAGCGCCGCCGACCCTGACGACGACGACGAAGACCAGGAGGAGGAGGAGGAGGAAGAGGAGGAGGTGGAGGAGGAGGAGGAGGAGGAGGAGGAGCGTTCGGGAGGGGCGGGAGGAGGGGGATGGAGGGGGACGAGGAGGACAAGGGGGAGGAGGAAAAAGGGGGAGGAGGAGAACGAGGAGGAGGAGGAGGAGGAGAAGGGGGAGGCGGAGGGGGGGGCGGAGAGAGGAGGGGGGAGGGAGGAGGCGGAGAGAGGAGGGGGGGAGGGAGGGGGAGGGGGGAGGGAGGAGGGAGGATGGAGGAGGGAGGAGGGAGGAGGGAGGAGGAGGAGGATGAGGACGACGAACGCTCGGGAGGAGGAGGAGGAGGAAGGGGGAGGGGGATGACGAGGAGAAGGATGTTGAGGAGGCGGAGGCGTGCAAGGGGTGCAAGTGCGCGGCACGTCTGCGCCCTCGACTGCCGGCGCCAGAAGCCTCGGCACAGCTTGGCTTCGAGCAGCTTCCGCTGCTCACAATCGAACTGACACGCGTATCCGATCCGAAACGGCCGCGCCCCGCCGCGGAGAACCTTTGAACGTTCGTACTTCTGTACCTTTGCACTGCTGTACTTTTGTATTCGTGTACGTTCGTACGTCTGTACTTGCGTACTGTGGTCCATGTGTACTTTGATACGTTTGTTCTTTTGTACTCTTGTATTTTTGTACCCTTGTACTTTTGTACCTTTGTACGTTGTGCATTTATACTTTTCATTTTTTGTATTTTTGAATTTTTTGTTTTTTGTACTTCTGTATTGTTTGTACTTTTGCTCTTTTGTACGTTTGTAGATTTTGTACGTTTGTAGTTTTGTGTTTCTGTACCTTTGTACATCTGTACCGCTGTACTCCTGTACTTTTGTACTCCTGTACTTTTGCACGTTTGTACGTTTGTACTTTTGTACCTTTGTACCGTTATTATTTTGTACTTTCGTACCCTTGTACATTTGAATATATGTACCTTTGTACTTTTGTACTTTTGTTTTTTGTACTTCTGTACTTCTGTACCTCTGTACTTTTGTACTTTTGTACTGTTGTACCTTTGTACCTTTGTACCTTTGTCTTTGTGTACCTTTGTACTTTTGCACTTTTGTACTTTTGTACTTTTGTTATTTTGTACATGTCTACTTTGCCCCTTAGGGTTCGCCCGCCCGACCCGACCCGACCCGCCCGTTAGGGTCCGCCCGCCCGACCCGACTCGACCCGCCCGCCCGACCCGCCCGGCCCGCCCGCTAGGGTTTTCGCGTGCCAATTCGATGGGGCTTCACATTTAATGTCCCGCCCGCCCGACCGTCAGGGTCCGCCCGCCTGACCCAACCGGGGCCGCCCGTTAGGGTCCGCTCGCGCGACCCGACCCGACCCGCCCGCCCGACCCGCCCGAGTCGCTCGTTAGAGCTCTCGCGCGTGAACGCGATTGCGCCCCGCACTTTCCGCCCGCTCGCCCGTTAGGGTCTGCCCGTTCGTCCCGGCCCGACCCGCCCGTTAGGGCCCGCCCGCCCGACCTGATTCGACCCGCCCGCCCGGCCCGCCCGCTATGGTTTTCGCGCGTCAATTCGATTGCGCTCCACACTTTAATGCGCCGCCCGTCCGCCCGCTGGGGCCCGCCTGCCCGACCCGACCCGACCCGCCCGTTATGGCCCGCCCGACCCGACCCGACCCGCCCGCCCGGCCCGCCCAGCCCGCCCGCTAGGGTTCTCGCGCGTCAATTCGATTGCGCCCCGCACCTATGTCCCGCCCGCCCGCCCGTTTATAGGGTCCGCCCGCCCGATCCGACCCGGCCCGCCCGCGAAGGTCCGCCCGCCCAGCCCGACCCGACGCGCCCGCCCGGCCTGCCCGATACGGCTCTCGCGCGTGAATTCGATTGCGCTCCGCACACTTTAATGTCCCGCCCGCCCGCTCGCAAGGGTCCGCCCGCCCGACCCGACCTGGCCCGCCCGTTAGGGCCCGCCCGCCCGACCCGACCAGGCCCGCCCGCCCGGCCCGCCCGTTGCGGTTCTCGCGCGTCAAGTCGATTGCGCTCCGCACATTTTAATGTCCCGCCCGCCGGGCCGTTAGGGTCTGCCCGCCTGGTCCGACCCGACCCGCCCGTTAGGGTCCGCCCGCCCGACCCGACCTGACCCGCCCGCCCGACCCGCCCGTTAGAGTTCTCGCGCGTCAGGTCGATGGCGCACCACACCTTAATGTACCGCCCACCCGCCCCTGGGGATTTCCTATGGGGGCAATCCAAGATCCCGGTTTTCTTTTGGATTTCCTATGGAACCAATCCAAGATGCGGGTTTTCTTTTGGATTTCCCATGGAAGCACCCCAAGATGCCGGTTTTCCTTTGGATTTCCCATGGAAGCACTCAAGATCCCGGTGTTCCTTTGGATTTCCTACGGAAGCAATCCAAGATGCCGTTTTTTTTTTTCGTACGGAAGCAATCCAAGATCCCGGTTTTCTGTTTGATTTCTCATGGGAGCACCCCAAGATCCCGGTTTTCTTTCGGATTTCCTATGGAAGCAATCCAAGATCTTGATTTTCTTTTGGATTTTCCTATGGAAGCAATCCAAGATCCCGGTTTTCCTTTGGATTTCATATGGAAGCAATCAAAGATGCCGGTTTTCTTTTAGAATTCGTATGGAAGCATTCCACTATCCCGGTTCTTTTTTTGATTTTCCTATGGAAGCAATCCAAGATCCCGGTTTTCATTTGGATTTCCCGTGGAACCAATCCAAGATACCGGTTTTCCATTGGATTTTCGACGGAAACACCCCAGGATTCCGTTTTTCTTATTTCCTATGGAAGCAATCCAAGATGCCGGTTTTCCTTTGGATTTCCTATGGAAGCGCCCGAAGATTCAGTTGTCTTTTGGATTTCCTGCGGAGGCAATCCAACATCCCGGTGTTCTTTTGGATTTCCTGTGGAAGCAATCCAAGATCCCGGTTCTGTTTTGGATTTCTTGTGGAAGCAATCCAAGATCCCGGTTTTCTTTTGGATTTCCTGTGGAAGCACCCCAAGATTCCCGGTTTTCTTTTGGATTCTCCTATGGAAGCAATCCAAGATCTCGGTTTTCTATTGGATTTCTCATGGGAGCACCCCACGATCCCGGTTTTCTTCTGGATTTCTTATGGAAGTAATCCAAGATCCCGGTTGTTTTTTCCCAACCATCTTGTGGTGTTGGGTCCTCGTTTTGAAGAGACGGTGCCTCGCGTTCTCCTTCCTCCCGCTGCCCCCTCCCTCCTGCCATCATCATCATCATCACCATCGTCATCGTCATCATCATCATCATCGTCATCATCATCATTATCATCACCATTATCATCATCATTCCTCTCCTCTCCTCTCCTCTTCTCCTCTCCTCTCCTCTTCACCCACCCAGTACACTGTTTCGTGGCTCCATAGGGAGCTCCACCGAAGGCCCCAGTGCCCGCGGCCGCATGCGTCACCCACACATATTTCGGCACCCCTCTCACACGCTTCGTGGCTCCATAGGGAGCTCCACCGAAGGCCCCAGTGGCCGCGGCGGCATGCGTCACCCACACCCATTTCGGCACACCCCTCACACGTTTCGTGGCTCCATAGGGAGCTCCACCGAATGCCCCAGCGCCCGCGGCCGCATGCGCCACCCACACCCAATTCGGCACACCCCTCACACGCTTCGTGGCTCCATAGGGAGCTCCACCGAAGGCCCCAGTGGCCGCGGCCGCATGCGCCACCCACACCCATTTCGGCACACCCCTCACACGTTTCGTGGCTCCATAGGGAGCTCCACCGAAGGCCCCAGTGCCCGCGGCCACATGCGTCACCCACACCCATTTTGGCACACCCCTCACACGTTTCGAGGCTCCATAGGGAGCTCCACCGAAGGCCCCAGTGCCCGCGGCCGCATGCGTCACCCACACCCATTTCGGCACACCCCTCACACGTTTCGTGGCTCCATAGGGAGCTCCACCGAAGGCCTCAGTGCTGCCGCCCGCATGCGTCACCCCCACCCATTTCGGCACACCCCCCGCATTTCTCGCACGGCAGGGTCATCACCACGGTGGCGTGCCAGGGGCGCACCATGCGCGAAGGCGACGGGGCGGGGGAACGGCGCTCCGGGGGCGGCCAGACCTCCGGGGCGCGAGCAGTCCGCGGCCAGACCATCTCTCGGTCCTGTGGACTCTCGCCCTGGGCCGTCGGCTGCCCGGCGCGCTGCTCCCTCGGTCGACGTCGCCCAGGCGTGATCCTGGATTGCGGCCGCCACGAGGTAGGGAACGGCAAGAAGGAGGACGACGACTGGTGGCTGGAGCTCTACGTGCTGCTCTCGCGCGCCACGCGCCACGAGGACCTCCTGCTCATGCGGGCGCCGCGCATCGAGTTCTTCCTGGCAGGGCCGCCGCAGGGCTTGCGGAAGCAGCTGGAGCAGCTTGTGGCGCGCACGAAGCGGCGCAGGAGGGAAGCGACGGCCCTCGCCAGGGAGCTCGGCTTCACCGAGTTCATCCGCGAGGCCTGACCTGAGGAGCGTCTCCCCCGAGCCGCGCCTTCTCTCGACTGCCCGACTAATTGTTTGGCCTCGCGCCGCGGACGACCCGCGCGCGTCGCTGGGACCCTCTCGGGGCGACCGGCGCGCGTCGCGGGAACTCCGTGCTGCGGGGGGCCCGGCGCCTCGTTCGCCCGTCGTCGCTCTGCCCAGCGGTCAGAGACTTGCCCGCTATCAGCCAGCCAGTTAGCTAGTCAGCTCTCTCTGCTTCGCGCAGCGGACGACCCGCGCGCGTCGCTGGGACCCCGCCCGGGGCGACCAGCGCGCGTCGCGGGGACTCCGCGCTGCGCTGCG